AGTCGGTGGACAAGGGGGGGTGCGGGATAAAAACAAATAGAATATGCGATTACACGGTCGAGGCCCAGAAGTAGCTTTCAGAAATAACAAGAGCGATCGTATATTTTTCAATGTTCTGGATGATAATTTATCGATTCGAATCTTATGTAGAGTTACGACGAAGGAGTATGGCGAAGTATATACGCAGTCAAAGTTCCATTGGCACTTGTGGTAAACGGGTGCAACGATGCGAATGCACTGGTTATCGCGATCTTATGCATCTTACTTGCATATGCACTTGGACCTGCATATGCAGCATAACCGCTCGAGTTTTTGAGTAAAAATTTTCTCCATGAATCTTGCGAATACAAATTTATGGGTTAAACTGAAAATTCGAACTTTTCTTCGTTTAACGTGGCAACAATGCTATTTTCAGGTTTGGTTGCTTACTTCAGAAATTAATCCCAATTATGGCCGATAGTCGAGTGTCCGATGGCTCCTCGAAAGGCTGCGCGTTTCTCGCATTGTTTGCGCGTATCTTCGACCACCAGCTCGTTCTAGACCAATCGCCGGTATTGTCGGGCACTGCATTATCGGCATGATCGACGTACCCTATCAATCTGTCCGACAACGTTTTCATTCGGAATTTCGAAAATCCACTGATATGGCCCATATGGGGAAGATACGGTTCGAGCAGTGTGTTAAATATAGACGTGTAAGATAAATGGTGTATGGGAGCATGTGCTCTTGTCACTTGAATGAAACGTGTGCATTGGAGTATACGTGTTACGTCAATAGCGATTAAAATAGCTCGCACGAGGTATACTCCGTTGAAGATTTCACTCGGATCATTCTAAAGCTGTTACTTTCGTTTAAGCCTGGTTCACAGAGCGCGATCTGCTGCAGTGCAGCTAAATCGCAGATGCGCGATAAAGCCTCGACGCTCTCTTGGACGTGGTGCGATCCCGATAGTAGCGGGGACTCGCAGTCGATTCGAGGACGGGCATAAATCCAAAGTTTGGCCCTGAGGAGTTAGCGCGTATCTAACCTATATCTTGGAAGATTCAATCCGCCAATTTCAGAGCCAATAAATCCATCGGTACTTCGTGCTGTCCTTCATTGAGCCTCGCGCGTGTTATGAGCTCGCCGTTACGTAATTCCACTTGGCAAGATACAGGAGCTACAGAGGTGTAAATATTGGATAACTCCCACTTTCAGTCGCCATGAATAAAAGGATGAAGCGTTAGGGGTACTTGGAAGAAGCGGGGAAATGCTGATCCCTCCCTGTTGTCACGGATTTGGTTTTTCCTTAAAAAACTGCAATGCTCGTCAGAGCGTTAAGGGTGAATCCAGTGCGGGAGCCATCGTTATCCGGAAGAGGAACTGAACCGGAAGTCTCGGAAGGGACAGAGGGATATCTTCGGAGCGCTAATAGAATTATTTAAATAGGGCTTATGAATCGGAATTCAAGTAGTATTATCGCGCACAGATAACCACGAGGATTCGCGGGAAATTTGAATTTTGAATATTACATATCTCGTACGGAATATAAATATATATCTTTGAATTAATATGAATCATGAGAATTCACCATCGTCCAGACTCGCCCCTTGCGCTCGGTATCGACGTGTTCGACGTTCTTGGAAAATTTGGCAGGTCGCTTGGGTCAAAAAAAAAATTGTCACGCGCCATCCGACAGTATTCTCCTATACTTTTTTGTATCTCCTTTTCTTTTTGGCACTTGTGTAAAACTAGCCCTATCGTCAGTCTGCTGCTTTACCGTATGTAAGTACATAGGTAGGCCCCCGGTATCCTCTCTATGTATAACCGTACATACACCCTGTAAGGATCCAGCTACTACGGATCCGGCTGCCCGCAGGGAGATTTCAAGGGACGCTCTCGCCAATAAATTCGAGCAATAAATGAGAAGCCAGGGGATATCGAAATCAAATCAGGGGCAAGTAGACAAGGCGCAACCTGGGCACGTAGAATCCCAAGAACTTGTGCACCGCTCAGCATACTTGGGGGTTAAGTTGGCCCGATCATATTACAGAAACTCGGTTCGTGATCTCATCGACCAATTATGCCAACAATTCCTACCCGCTCTTTACCGTCGCAGGTGAAATTACGTGAATCGCTCTCGCGAAAATACTACCGCCACTTCTCGGGTAGTTACTCGCGCTAATCGTAACGCCTCGTAGCTGCATATTAGAGGTACGCGTAATAACGCCGGGAATTTTGAAAGAGATAATATTTTTTTTTACATAGGAAACCTTTGCCACCCGTTAATGGCAAACGCTGACTTAATTACATCCAGAGAGATACCTTGCTACAGCCCAATAGGAAAAGCTAAATTTTACCTGAAACTCGTAAAAAATTTTAATTACGCGCGTATTGCATGCTCAAAATATAGGGGCTAGTGTATGACTATACCTTGCACCTTGTACTCACCTAATTTCTGCAGTTCTCGGTCATCCTAAGCAAAATGGACTGCTGGCTGCAATTAGATGCCTGCCCAACCTGGTGATACAAATAATCGATTATCCAAATGCTCGAACAAATGTCCCTGCTATAGTTTACTTCATTATCGCAATTTCCAAGGACACCCGATACTTTCCCTATGAAGGATGACATTTTCGATTGCATACGCTATACCGTAGACAGTTTTGTTAAACGCGAACCTTACGGGGATGTTGATGGGTATAGTAAAGAAATATGCATTTTTTTTCAGTTTACTCGAAAAGCAGTAAAAACTGAATATATCGTGATTGTAAAATAAATCTGAAATTTCATCGAAAAAATATTAAGCAGGATTGAGGATCGGAAATGCGAGAAAAAAGTTTTTTCATTCATTACTATTTCTTTATATGCATCGCCCCCCCCCCCCCCC